GGCCATAAAAAGCTGAAAATTATGTTGTATGTAAATGAAAGGTCATTTGCCTGTGTTTGGGATAAAAGTCACAGACCTGCTATGGCTAATTCTTGGAAGGAATGGTAACTTGTGAATTTTTCATATGCCTATTTCCAGGATTAGTGCATCACTTAATTTATTCTATATATGATATGAAGAGGTTAAAGAGTTGCAGCATAAAGGCATGCAAAAAGCCACACTCTCTATCCAGATATATTAATAGTTATCTAATAATAGATCATGCTGCATGCAAATATGCTTGATGCTAATATTATTTAGCTAAAATACAAGCAATAAATACTGTTCTCTAAGGCGCAGAAAATACATTCAAAACTAGTCTATGTTTTAATAGATTTCTTGTGTCCTTGATAGATTTAAAGTTAGATTATCTACATACCTGACACATTTTAAGCAACCAAGGCAAAGTGTGAAAAACTTCTCAGCATTGCTTCATTGGAATCACAAGAACACTTTTCCGAAATCACAATGCCTTTTCTAATATTTGCTCTCAGTACATTTATATACCCAATTCCTTTTTTTTCTCATATGTGCAATCTAATACCAAATCTGACTGACATGAGAAAAACCTATTCAGCACAGTGGCTAAGCAGTTAAAAATGTCATTCAACAATTTGCCAGGTCACTGTCACAAATATGTTGCTAGGTGACTGCAGATGTTATCAGCCACTAAAATACATGCATTTTCCAGATGTATTTGTTAAATCATTTTCTGTTGAGTGATTCTGTGGTACCATGAAATTGAATGCCTTATTAAGGACCTAAATATTTTTAAATATAGAACATAATCTGAATGATATTGAAAATTGTTATTTGTTGTATAAGTGGAGGAAAGGGATCCAAATTTGGGAAATTTGACTAAGGGTTTCTAGAGATTCAGCTCCCTAGAAACTGCAATATTATACTATCCTCTTGGGTTTTGTAACTTCTGTGCATACCTAATGCTCACATTCTGCATCCAATTATTCTACAGCTGATCCCTCTTAATTGGCATTTTTATCAGCTAGTGATATGATTCATTAACCCTTTGGAAAGCAGTCTTTCAAAAGTTAATAACCATAGAGTTTGAAACTTCAGGCTGACGTAATACCCAGTCATAAAAACGCATGAACTTCAGTTAGTTTCAGATGTCATTCTGGGAGCTGATTGTATCAGTCACAGAGAATCAACCCTGCAGGTCAAGACCCTAAAAGCTGGGCTGCTTTTCCAGGTTCCTGTTCCTGGCAGTGGCAGTCATCCACACAGAGGTCGGTCTCCCTATCAAAGTGAGCCAGGAGAGCTGCCAAACTCCTGGCAGTGTGCACTGGTGACATTGGAAATGACTAGGGCACACATTTATTACTGAGTTCAGGTATAAAAACCTGTGTGAAAGGATTCCTATCTGCAAGCTGACTCCCACATTCAAATAATGGGGGCAGCTATCTTTTATAGTGCAAGTCAGATCTACAAATTCATTCTAGCCTCAATATCTAGAAATGTACATTGAGTAGATAGGAGGCAGGGTTCAAAGAATGTGCTACTGGTTGCATTTTTCCTAGAGCTTTGAACTGTAACATCTGTGTGTGCTCCCTGGTTCAATGTTCATCTGGAACGATCGAGAGATTACTCAGTGGTTTGGCAGGGACTTGCAAGATCACACTTTTCAGCTCAGACCAGCCTGCATCAAAGGTACTTACACGTGCATGGATATAAATGTAAACTGTCCAGAGAGAATAATGTGCTAGTGTTAAATCCAAATTTATCTCCTCTGGCACAGGGTGATCCCAGGCCATGAGTGATGGCAGACTGAGTATTCATTCTGAGAAAATACTGCTATTTATTATTTTTCTGCATTCAGCATTTTTTTCCCTAGGCATCCACTTTTGGCCTGATATCAGAGGTGAAATACTGCACCAGATGGATCTTGACCTGGTCTCTGTGGCCAGTTTTATGTTCTTAGACCCATGCAGCACTGACTCTTTGTGACACTCTACGTGATTTCCAGCAGCATGGGGAGTTCATGTCGTTGGTCTCCGGGGTACAGAAGGAAAATATCACAAAAAAAATCCTTAGTCTTCCTGGCAAAGCTGAAGGGAGGGCAGCAGTTTGTGAGGTTTGTGGTTACTGTAGGTGCAGTTTTTAAGCATGGCTTAAATAGTTGTGTGTGTTATGCCTCAGCTAAGTGTCTTTTACCACATCAAAAAAAAAGTTTAGACAACATATAATGTTCTCTGTTCTGAAAGAGTGAGGTAACACTTCACAGTCTGTCTGCTGGAGGTTGTGCTGTCATGCCATTGCTCCAGGGAGAAGTGGTATCGCTCTTCCTCTCAGCTTCACTGGCATCAGTTAATGAAACAGGAGACAGGGGCCATGAGTTGCAGCCTGGGATGTTCAGACTTGACTGTGCAACCCCTTGAGATCCCTTCCAATCAACATTTCTGGAGTCCATGAAAGGCCTACACTCACCTGAATCAGTAACTCAAGGCAGCTATTCCAGAGCATCTCAACTGGCTTCACACATTTATGCGATGGCAGCTGCATTGTGCCCCCTCATCAGCAAAATTACATGAGAGTGATGCAGCCAAACTGGCTGTTTGGCAATTCACCAACCAAGCAGGTGGATATAATCCACACCCTTTGGGATAACCTGGCATATTTGTCCTGCTCTTCAGATGTCACTTCAGACTGTCATTTTGAAGGGGGTGATTCTCTTCTACTCTGCTTTTGTCAGATCCCATCTGAAGCAGTGCGAGCAGTTCTGGTGTCCCCAACATCAGAAGGACATGGAACTGTTGGAATAAATCCAGAGGAGGGTCATGGAGTTGATAAGAGGACTGGAGAACCTCCCCTGTGAAGACAGGCTGACAAAGGTGGGGCTGTTCAGCCTGGAGAAGGAAAGGTTTTGTGGAGACCTCAGAGCAACCTTCCAGTATCTAAAGGGGATCCACTGGGAAGCTGGAGAGGGACTCTTGATCAGGAGTCAGTGACAGGACAAGGACTAATGGGTAGAAACTGAAAGAGGAGAAATTTAGGTTAGATATTAAGTATGGTTAGACAATGTAATGTATGGGTTGCCCAGGGAGGTTGTGGATGTCCCCAACCCAGTGTTCAAGGCAGAGTTGGATGAGGCCTTGAGCAGCCTGATCTAGTGGGAAGTGTCCCTGCCCATAGCAGGGGGCTTGGGACTAGATGGTCTTTAAGGTCCATTTCAAACCATTATAATTCTATGACTCTAGGAGTATCTCATGTGTCCAGAGATATCTTCAATGACAGAACATGCTTCTCTTTAGGAAACTGAATCAAGCCCTGGATGTCTCCTGGGGTGAACAGAAGCAATTTTGCTTTTTCTCTGTAGCACAGAAGGAATCAGGATATCCTCAGTGGCCTGTTCACCTTAAATAATTATTCTCTGCAAGGCTGTGGTTGGTAGCTTTAGCTTGCAGAATCCCAGCACCAGGTCAAAAAAACACCCAAGCGCTCCAGTGCACAAATGATGATCTGGGATAAAGCCCTGCTGTCAGATTACATTTGTTCAACAGCTGCAGTTGCCTAACCAGGGCCACAGGTCAGGCTCATGTGCACGGTAGCTCATTTACACGTTGCTTGGGTTTTGCCTTGTTCTTTCTACTGTCACTCAAAGTGGAGCTGGGTGTAGATACTGGGCCTGCCAGCTTCCTGGGGAAAAGCCACCCTTTAGCAGCTCCAACCATGGCAGGACAGAGAGTGACACAGCCTGGATCTCACTCCCACTGATTCTTTAGCAGAGACACCAAAGGGACCCTCAGTGCTGCAAAACATCTGTCACAAGGCCAAGCACAGAGGGATGAGCCCTAGGGACAGTAAGGTGCTCTCTAAAGTTAAAATTACTTAAATAAATTGTTACTCAAGTGCAATTGCTGTAGCTTCTTTGTGGTATTTCCCAGAAGCCTGAACGCCCTTGTTTTTCTCAGCACAGACAGTGGAATATCTTAAATAAAATATATTCCTATTGACATTTCTTTTAATGCAATGTCAGAAGTTTCCAGAAAGATGCTTGAACTGTAGAAACTTAAGTCAATATTACTTAAATTTAAAATTAATTCTCTGTTTTGAATCTGAGCAATTGATTGTGCTGATCTTGGAATAAAAGTTCTAAAGAGAGCTTCCCACAACATGACGTGGAAGGATAGAGATGTGCTCCACACACTGGAGATGGAGGGAGTACCGTAGGTAGAGCCAGCCTGTTTCCCTGGAAATCAAACCACCTGAAACTTGGCTGTGCTATCAGAGCACTGCAGCCGCTGCCAAGGTCCTCTCTGCATATTTAAATTTACACCAACTCTGTGTTGTGACAAAGTGCCAAGCACTGATGGGAACCTTCTGTCTCTAGTAAGAATTTTGGACACATAATAACAACAAAGGTTTAATATATCTTTGCTTGAAAGCAGAATTTAAATGAGGTTATTTAGGAAAAAGCAACCTTTTTTCTTGGAAATACTATTTCATTATATAAAAATATAATGAATTAACATTTATCTGGAAAATGCTTTTTTTGTGTGTGTTTCACAACTACTTTTTAGCATTTCCATGCTGAATAATATTTTCTAGAATATATTTATTCTGGAATGAGTTTTTGCAGGTTTGAGTGATAGAATCATGCAAGAAACTGAATGAGTATGTTTAACAACAAGGAAAACAACAGTAATAGTGGTAGTAATAATAACAGTAATAAACCCAACTTAATTCTGAATAAACTGAAAATGTGGAAAATCTCAGTTTTACATTTTGTTTTTTGGTTTTTCTTTTTTTGACATGTACATGGGTTTCTGATGCATCATTTGATCCTGTCTTACTCCAATATACTGAGATTTACAGGGATCTGTTTAGTTTATCCTTGCTTTGAGAGTCAGTTTGGTTATAGCATATAAGCATTATCAGAGGAACAAAACACTGTAAACTAAGAAGTGTTTAATCTAAAAGAGACAAGAACAACACAGAAAAAATTCAAGACTTAAAGCTTTATTAGCAATGAATACTATTTTAATAACACATGCAGATGAGATCACAACAGATTACCCAATGAAAATGGTGTCTTCTCCATTAGATTTTGCCTTCAAACAGGCACTTGAATGCCAAGGTGATGGTGAGCTCTTCTGCAGTAGTCTTGTCTCTGGAGCACTCTGTGAGACTGAGGAAGACCTGCAGAAACCTGCCCTAGGGGAAAAAGCCAGAGCTAAATTTTCCTCTTCTCTTAACACAATTCCCTAATCACCACTGAGCAATTATCGCTTTCCTTTGCTCTAAAAGGAAAACAAGTGATAATGTAGATTAACTTAAATGTCTAATGATTATTCAGAGATGTAGAGTTGACAAGAGTTTCCCTAAATTAAGCAGACTGGATCCCGCTGTGATATAAACACTTTTCTTGGTGACCAAGGCATACTACATTTAAAATAAACTTTGTTATTGGTGGATTGTTGTAACTGTCACAGAATTTTAAAAAGTTACATTTTTCTGCAGCCCACTAGAGAGGTGTTAAGTCATTAAAATAATGTGTGGTGTGTTTGTTTATTTATTTATTTATATAGGACATATTAATTGTCGTTAAATGGACCAGCAGACTTGTCTGTTTCAAAATAAAAGTGCATAACTCTTGAATATGCTTTCTAAAGCTGTTGCACTTGCATCTGCTGTTCAGACTGTTAATACTTTATTATTTGGAAAAGCAAGTTAAATTAACTCTCCAGTGTCAATGTACATTGCACACATACATGGGCACCCCAAATCGCTCACTGTGGATGAGGCCATGACTGTATAAACAGAACCATTTCAGAGAAACATATTCACGGGTTTATCTTCAGCACAAAACACCAAATAATAAAGAGCTAATATTTTGATTTTTCACATCAAGCACTGCAGCACAGTCCCACTCATTCCAAGATTGGTGCTGAGAGGAGTAAGCCAGCTCCTGCAGGATGTACCTCCCTTGCTGTGTGTAGTTCATGGCACTCCCTAGAAGCCTGCACATTCTTGCTTTTCTTAGAATGGATATTGAGTTATCTTTAATAAAGTGCACTCATACTGAGATCACTTTTAATGCAATGGTGGAAGTTTCCAAAAAGATATTTAAGCTGTAAAAATCTGTGGGAGTAGCAATGCTTAAGGACTAAACCTTTCTACTGTGCCACTAACAAAGTGCTTCACTTTCTACATATCTTGTGCTGTTACCAAGGGCCATTTTGTATCACTGAAAATAAAGAGATTAATTCTTATTCATGAGGCCTGTCTTGCTGGCCTCATTCCTAATGACTTTGGACATAATGCATTAAACTTTTGTCACTTCCACTGTGCAGGAACTGTGCTCTCCAGCATTCCCATCACCTCTGTGCATCAGGTGAATTTGATTTTCCTGTGGGCTTTACTTATCCACATTTTGTTGTCCCTGGGCCTGATGCAGCCCCAGTGGCACAAGGCTGGCTTTGGGATCACGTGTGGTGCACATGAAAGGCTGAAAGCAGGACAGCAAGGCAAGGTTTGAGTTTGAGATATGCTGATGAGTTAGTTTGTGTGGATTGATGAGGAGAAGTAGGCTGTGTTGGTGGGAAGGCTACCTGGTGGTTCCAAGGTGCAAAGTGTGGGATTGGAAGAATTTATTTTTTTGTCGTACTGATACTCTGCTAGAGAGAACATGAACTTGGAGCACAGGATGAAGTAACTGGTATTTGTTTTGCTTTTGTGTTTTTACTTCATTTGTCCTGTCTACACATGTCTAAGCCTCAAATTCCAAACCACGACTTAATCCCTTCTCCTTTGGAGCCCTTGGAGGTAGAAAACAAAGTTGTGGTAAATCATATCATTAGACTTTAATAGCCAATATACAGTAAGTAACATTTTTCCTCCCAAGGGAATTATTTAATGTTTAATGAAAATACCAATTTGCATAATTCACTTGCAGTATAAAGGTCACCAACAGTTTGTGACTAGGATAACAGGGTAATTACTTAAGATAGCTCTCATCCATCTACAAAAGAATGTTAATTTGTTGAAAAGGACTATTTTAAATTATTGTTTTAAATTATTATATCATCTTTTTTATATTTTTAAAAACGCCAGAACTTGTGCAGCAGTGCTCTCAAAGCTCTGTATCACTTTCTCAAAGGCAGTTGAGACCAGGCAGACCAGGCTTCTCTATTAGCTGGTAGATGAATGGCAAAAATATGAGAAGTGTGAGTGAACCTGAGTGATGGACCAACATAGAAGGTGCCTGGGTCAAAGACACAGAAGTCCCACACTGTGTCCCCTCTGTGGGAAGACCCCAGTGGTCATACTTCATCACCAAAACTCTTGGGTCGCAAGTAAAATTTTATCCAAATAAGGGCCTATGTTTTAAAGTTGTGGTCTAAGAGAAAACAGAGGTTGGTTCTTAGTAAAGCACAACTCGGCCAAGCACTGGACACCTGCTGAGCCTTTGCATGACCAAGCCCAGCCAAGGACTGGACATCATGGCAGTCATGCAGGAGGAAGCAGATCATGGAAATCCCTGCTGGAGTGTGTGGAGCCCAGTGCTGATCCTGACAGCTACACACTATAGGCTGCTTTGGGCCAGGGGCCACCACCATGCCCAGAATGTTTGCCAGGAATATCCAAAACTGGTGTCCAGCTGCCAGTGTGCTGGGGCACGCTGCATTCCCAAGGGAATGTGTGTCAGAACCAGCCTGCAACAGGGACTTCCTAAATTGTGAGCATGTGCAATGTAGCCACAGTCACCCAGGAGTACTCCTGGCGCTGGAGCCACTGCTGTCACTTTGTATCTCAGAGTGCACTGTCCTCCTTCTCTGCAGAGATTCCTATCCGGGCCATCAGCAGGGCTTGTAAAGATGACTCAGACTAAAAGACTCCTTTTCCCATTCACTGTAAAGCCAGGAGGATTTCTCTTTTATCCTGTAGGTGCACCATAAGGGATAGAGGGAAGTGACCCTGAGTGAGTGACACACTGCTTGCAGTGGGACAAGCCTACTTTCGCAACTCAGCACAATAGACCAAAACCACACTATGTTTCATTTAATGATTACTCCTGCACAAAGCTTTCAAATAATAAGCACTAACATATTTTAAACCTGAGCAAGCTAAACATTTAATTTACTACTCACTTGACACCACTTTAGTTCATTAAAACCTCTGCAGCATTGGAGAAGGTGAAGAGGGCAATATGATTAAGACAGCATGATTAGGGCAGGGCAGGAGTTTCTCTCAGCTGAGAGTTGAGGGAATCTTATTCTTTCCTTCAAAGACAGCAGTGTTTCTTCTCCTTGGCTGGGCCAGGATGGAGCTCTAGGCACCACATTTCCATGCCTCTTGGGCGCTCTTCAAGGTGATGCTTTGGGATAAGCCTTGCACTGCACAGAATGACCCCAGCTGTTTACCTGCATGTCCCCAGAGTAGTATTTTTAAGGGATATGATATTGATAACTCAGCTTGCCCCTGCTGTGATTTAGAAAGCATCTAATTGCATTTATACAAATAATTATATACATGTATATATATTTTAATGTTAGTTGTCACTGTGAAATAGAGTAGATGTACCAACTTTATTAGTAAAATCCTGGCAGCTATGAAAAGATGGAGAATGCCAGCCTGTGCCACAGAACCAGCAGTGAGGGTCTGCAGTTGATGTCCTGGTCTGGCCTCAGTCTGACCCCCTCCCCAGGGAGGTGTCCAATACCCAGGGCTGGGGCTATTCCTGCTCCCCTCCCAGGGATCTGAGGCACCACACACAGCCAAGAGCTGAATGTGCAGTTTCTGAAAAAATCTGTCTTCTGCCTGCATTTAAATCACAGAATTTCTTTTTCCACCTCCTCACAAATCAAGACCCAGGAAAACAGTATAAGATTCGATGCTGAATTTAGGCAGATTTCTGGCCAGAGGCTTCTCTGCTCTGCAAGCCCTCCAGCCCCTATGCTGAGCCAGGGTATGACCATTCCAGGTGTATCTTCCACCTGCTTCCCAGCTCCTGGAAGCCATCTCGTTTGAGATGTGTGGCTGGTCACTTCTGTTTTGAATTTAGGTTCTGTTTGATTTCCCAATGCAGAACTCTCATTAAAGAGAATTAGAGCACAATAAAAATAGGCTTTAGGGGACCAGCCTGTCCAGTCAGTCATCCAGGAGGTTCCTTACAGAATTATGCATGTAAGTAGTCACTAGTGGCTTTTTGTACCCTTCATAAGAGTGGCCAATAGCAGATATACAGAAGAGAGCTTTCCAGTAGCAAACATGGAAAAGCTTCCCATCAGCAGCATTTCCACACAGTATCCCAGCTTTAAGCTGTCTGGAGTTTAGGCCTCCTTAAACCACAAGTGGCATATTTGTCTTAAAAAAATTAATGTAACACAGCATCTAAAAATAATCCCATAGAGTCATACATTCTCTTGTTTTTCAGCATTTGAATCACTGCAGCTGACTCCACAGTGTCATAAAACACATTTTTAGAAGGAAAATTATCCAAAAATTTCCTAGAGTGAAGTACTTAAAAATAAACAATCTCTCACTCTGTAAAGCACATACCTAAGTCCTGTTGTTTCAGAAAGTGCTGAAGGCTGTGGATGAGGAAGTTCTGGCCACTCCTTGGTGCCCAGAGGCCACACATGGCCAAAGCTGTGGGCATACCACCAGCTTGCATGCAGCTCAGCCTCCATCAAGCTCTTACTCACAGTTGTTTTCCCACGAGCTCAAAATCCGAAAACAATTACACTGCTAAAAAACCTGATTATTCTCCAAAGCTGAGGTGTGTGGTGGAAGTCCCATGTGTGCTAACAGAGGAGCAGTGCATCAGCACAGGGCTCAGAGCAAACACCAGAAGCGCTGCTGGGGGAGCAGAGCCATCCCTGCTACAACAATACTCCTGCAGCCAAGAAAACTTACTCTAGCTGGCACCGAGCAGGAGGCAGGGAAATTGTCTTCACCGGTGCCACACATTTTTTCTCTCTTCAACCAACAGTTTAAAGGACAAACAGAGGAATGACTGAACCCCAAATACTCTGTTGACTGAATCTACAAATAGGCAAGCCCCTGTTGCTCATATTCTGTCACTCAGCTGGTTTCTGGTAGCCCCTAAAATGACAAGACTCATCTCCAAAATGCTCAAGTTGTTAAAAATAACAGTATCCTGTTCTTATTTATTACAATTTCATATTAATTTTATTTGTGGGTGTATGAAGAAAAAGAGGCTAGGCTGAGCTCTGGATTTAGGCACACAATTTTTCTTTGACTACTAGAAGGAAAAGGCTAAGACGCCTTCATTTATGTGGCTTTGATTCATCCCGCAGCGCTAGCTCTGAACTGGCTGTGCATGGTCATCAGTGCGTGTGACAAACGCTCCTGAACGCCCGGAGCACAGTCTGTACCCAGGGACTGAGGCACCCTGCTTTGGGAAGCGTTGCCCTCAGAGCATGCAGGTTCTAAAACCATCAGCGACTGCTAAAACAAAACCTGTCTGCGAGGTGCTTGTGGGGAAAAGGAGGCAGAAGTCAGATAGCATCTCCCCTTGCTCCACCCCTTCACACTAATTATGTGACATGAAAGCTCATGCCTTAATTAGCCCGGAAATAAATTACACTGGCTCCTCCTGGTGGCTGGTCCCACAAGCTCAGCACGGCCGGCTGTGGAGATTGGCGATGAGAGCTCATCTTCCCTCGGCCCAGCGGGTTGTGCGAGCTGCAGCGGAGCCCGGGGCCGCCAAGCGCAGCCCCGTGTCCGTCACCAGCACTCATACCCACCTGTGTGCCCACCTCTGTCCCCACCTCTGTGCCGACCTGTGCCCACCTCTGTGCCGACCTGTGCCCACCTCTGTGTCCATCTGTGCCCACCTCTGTGCCGATGCCATCGCTGGGGCTTTGCTGCTCGTGGGCTGGTGGTACCAGCGTCCCCAAGCCGCCGGAGGGCCTGTGGCTGAGGAGCTGTGGCCGGAGGAGCTGTGGCCGGAGGGGCTGTGGCCGGAGGGGCTGTGGCGGGAGGGGCTGTGGCCGGAGGGGCTGTGGCCGGAGGGGCTGTGGATGAGGGGCTGTGGCTGAGCGGCTGTGGCCGG